GGAAAAAATTAATGAACTAAAATAAATACTAAATGAAGAAAAAATTAAAAATGTTGAAAAAGATATTTTTATTTCATAAAAAGATATATATATTTCATAATTTAATAATGTAAAAGTTGAATTAGAGCAATAAATTTTACAAAAAGAAGAACGAATTTAATTTCTTGAAAAATATTAAGAAAATAAAAGTGGATTTATACCTCTTTCTTAGTAATTGATGCAAGATATTAATGGATCATTCGAATAAAAGGATAAAAGGGTATATGAATTATTAAACGAGAATTTAATTTTAAAAGAAGAAGTAGCAAATTTATAAGTTTTCAAAGAAGATAATTAATTATTATAATAAAAACTTAAGGTAAGTCGTGAAAGAACAACTAAAATTTAATTTGAGTTAGAAATTTTAGAAGGAGAAAATAAAAATTTAAATGAAAAAATAAGCAAAATATAAGATAAATTATAAGTTTAAAAAGAAGAGAATGTAATATCATAATGTGAAAATACTTAAGAATTAAAATAATAAATTGTTCATTATGAAAGAACTATATAAGAATTAAGAAATGAAAAAAATAAAACTTATTAAATGTTTTTAGGATGTAAATAAGAAAAAGATAACCTAAACTTAATTCTTAACTAATTGCAATAAAATAAAGACGAAGAATTTTAGTTAATATAAAATATTATAAAAGCTTTTAAAGAATAACATTAAAAATATGATAAAAACAGAGCTTCTATTAGTTCTTCTTCATGAAAAAAAAATAAAAAATATATATATATATGTATTTTTTTATAATAGAATGTAATATTAATAAATATTATATATATATATATATATATATATATAAATATATATATTATATTTATTAATATATATTTTTCTCTATTAGTAAATTATCACTTATTTTTCTTATTATTAATTATTTTATTGAAATTTATAATTTTTTTTTTTAGTACATTAAAATAATTAATTATTTTAAAATTTAGTATTTTACATTATTATGAATATAATTTGTGAATATGAAAATAATTATTAATCTTTAATATTATATTCATTTATATTCATATTTTAGTAAATATATATTTGAGAATTTTAATATTAAAATTTTGTATTATATCCTCTATCTTTGTTACTTAATTTAAATATTTATTTCAATTAATGTTTTTTACAATATTTTTTTTTATTAATGTAATATAATTATTTATATATAAAATTTATTAAGATTTCTTTTCGTTTTTTTACATAAATAATATAATTTTTTATTTGTGCTAACTTTTTATTCTCAATTTAATATAAAATTATTACATATTTTTTTACTAAATTATATAAAAAAATAATTGTATAGTTTTTAGGAATTAATTAGTATAAAATGCAATAACTCTTTTAAGAAAAACCAATAAATTATAAAAAAGTAAAAAAATAAATATTTTTAATTAAAAAAATCGAAAGCCGATTAGAGAAAAAAACTTTAATACAACTTATTTTAACAGGAATAAGAATAATTGTTTGGTATATATTTAGATAATTTTAAAGGAAATTCTAATTAAGATTTCGAAATATTATAATTATCAAATAATGATAAAAAATAAAAAAATAAAGATAGGTGGACTTACTTAAAAATATAATAAAAAGAATAAGAATATCAAGGAAAAATAATAAAAAATGAAAATCATTAACTAAATTATCATAATTTAGGGAAATATTCTTATATTATAATTAATGATAATATTAAATTAAATAAAATTGAATTAAAATTTGTCATATGTACTACTTTATTTAAAGAAAAAAAAATCTTGAAAATCAAAGTTTAGATTAGTATGATAAAGATATAAACCAAATATAAAACTTACTTAAATATACTAGAAAGTTTCCTTTAGAATAATTTTTTTTAGAAGAATAAAATTTTATAGGATCAATAAAAAAATATGAAAATTCAATTAAAAATGATAAAAATAGTAAAAATATAAAATTATAAAAACAAAACAACTTTAGTGATGATGATAAAAATAATACTTCTATAGCTTAGAGTGAATAATATTCTAATATTTATATTAATTTATGAAATTTTAAAAATAAATAATATTAATTTTTTCAAATACTAATAATTATATTTTTTTTTTTTTATTTTCTATTTAATATTAAAATAAAAGTGGTTTTAGCACTTATTTAGTATATAAAAAATTAATAACAGTAATATAAATAAAGATTAATCATTTAATTATATGTTTCATCAAATATAAATAAAAAATATTGCTAAATAGATTAAAATTATCATAATGATAGCATGTTTATTTAAAATATTTTTTTTGTAAAAAAATTGCTATAAAATATAATATGTTAATATAAGCTAAATAAAGGATTTTAAATAAATATTTTTTATATATTTTGATTAAAGTGTTTTCATTTTTTTTTTTTATTTATTTATTATGGTTTTATATAAGTATGTAATGTGGGAAAAAGATAATATAAATTTAAAAATAATAAATTTATATTAAACAATAGTAAATATAGACTAAGTGTAGACATAATAAAATTTAAAAATCAAAGGCATGGTATAAATAATATATTATATAATACATGATAATAATAAAAAAAAATGTTAAAAATTATATTATTATTTTTATAATATTGTAATCATTAATATATTTAATATTTTCAATTTTCTAATTCCAATATATTTTGCTTAACTATTTTAGCAACTACTATATATTTGTTTAAAAAGTTTTTAGACATTTTACATTATTGTTTGATTTAATAATAAATAGTTTTATTTAAAAAATAAATCTTTTTAATATCAAAAAGAACTAAATTAATAATATAAAAATATTTATATTTAATAAAAAAAATCATATGCCTGTTTAATAATAATTATTTCAAAAAAAAATCAAATATAAACTATTATAATGTATAATATAATTGAAGCAAAATCTTAATATTTCATGTTTATTCAGAATTTTATATAATTTTTATATTTAGGAAAATATCATTTTATATCGAATTTTTTTATTTCTTTATTAATATATTAAAATGCCTCTATATTTATTTTAATATTATTTAATACTAATTATGTATAATTTTTAAAAAAAAATTCGTAATAATTATTTTTAATTTTTAAATTTAAATTTAATTTAATAATTAGAAATATATTTGGTAATTATAACTTTTTATTCTAATTTTGTAAAAAATGTTTTTTCTTACATTTTTTCTTTTTTATTTTGTTTAGCTTTATCAACAACAATAAATTCAATAAATATATAAAAACCAATAAACTAACTATAAATATGATTTACAATAATAAAGTATTTATTTCATTATTTTTCTAAGAATAATCAATTTTTTTAGATAATTATGGATTAATGGGTTGGGCAAAATATGTAAATTATTAACCTATATATGACCCTGATGATCCAAATAATGATTTTAGCTTAATATAAAAGCAGAATATTTTTTCAATAAAATCATAAGAGTATATTTTTATGAATAAAATTCGCATATATTATATAAATATATATACTTTTTAAAAAGTAATAATATATTATTAAAATTATAATACGAGTAAGAAAATGAAATACAAAATACAAAAAATTAATTAGCCTTAAGTAATACCAGTGATAAAATAGAATAACCAAATGTTTAAATTTCAAGAAATGATTGGTTTTTTTTTATTGTATTTAATAAATTGATACCGCTTAAATAGTTCTTTTTGTTTATACAAGATTTAGGTCTGTTAGATTAATATTAAATACTCAATAATAACCGTTTACACATAAATATTTCTATATTGGATATGATTTATAAGGTGTAGATTGGTAAGGTTCATTTGATAAATTGTATTTAATTTATAATATGAATATAAATTATAATGTAAATGTCCTTCAAAGTCTCGTTTTCGGCGATTTTATTCGCTTTTTATATTTTTTTCCATTTGATGAAAGAAAAGGATATTATTTTACAGACAAAGTAGAAAATTAATATTATTAAATTTCAAATTAAAATGATGATATTTCATAAAAGCCACCTTCTTTTGACTAAAATGGGACTGGAATGGTTTTTTCAAATATAGATTAGGGAATTTTCGTTCCATAAATATAATTAAGTTAAATAATATTTATTTCTTTCTGGATATATGTAAAAAAAAATTATTTTCTTTTTACAAAAAATTAAAAATAAATAAGCCTCAAGTCAGTAGTATTGATGAATAATATATAATTAAATTCGTTGAAATATAAATGGAATAAACTTTACAAATTTCTTATTTTAGCATAATCTTAATAAATGATAAAATATTCATTACTTCCCAAAACTTAAAGGAGGAAATAGGACAAATAACAATTGAAAAATGGAATTTTGTAATAATATCTTTAGCATATAATAATGATAAATTATTAATAATTAAATATTATGCAAGCAAAAGTTTCTAGTTTTTGGGAAAAAATCAAAATTTTTTATCTATTAGCAATTCTATCTTTTCCTTGAATGAAAATTCAGTTTATAATCTATTTATTTGTGGAAACCCAGTTGATGATTAATTTATTTTAAAATAATTTTAAAATTCATTTATAGGAAAAATTAAAGATCTTCTTATTGGAGAAGGTGCAGCCATAATAAATGAATAATTTAATACTTAATATTAGAATTTGTGTATATTATAGTTAGGCATTTCACAAAATATTAATAAATGTATAATATGCAATAGTTTATCCATTAAAAAAAATAAAATAGTAAGTAGGCTAAATTAAGATTGTGATAAAACAAAATAATGTCCAGTTAAATATTATCCTTTTAATCTTAATAGAATATGTGAATAATGTGATCCTAAATGTCAATAATGTTTTGGAGGAAATTATTCTTAATGTTAATAATGTGAACCTACTTTTTTCAAAGAATAAACAAGTTGCGTATAAGATTGTTATTTGGGAAGTTATAAAGATTATTTAACTATGACTTGTTTAAGTAAATATTTATATATTTATTTATATTATATTTATTTTTTTCAATAAAGAGTGTAATTAAGCTTGTTTAAAATGTTTTGGAAATTTATCAACTTAATGCACTTTATGTAGAGATGGATTTTATTTAAATAATACATCATGCTTAAGTAATTTTAAAATATATTGTTCTATGTTTTTTACATAAATAAAAAAAGATTGTCATTCAAGATGTTTAAAATGTACCGGAGCTTCTTTTAATTAATGTTAGCTATGTTCCACTGGATTTTATTTAAAATACGGCTTTTAATGTACCAATGATTGTGGTTTAAAATATTTTGCTAATGGAAATAACGGCTAATGTTAATGTAAATTTTTTATCAAAAAAGAAATATTATTTAAAAAAAGAATGTGAATCATCTTTAAATTGTGCTGAATGTGAAAACGGATAAGCCTGTACAAAATGTGATACTGGTTATTTTTTATAAAATCCAGATTGTAGATAATGTCATAAAAATTGTTTATAATGTTTTGGGAGTGATAAATCTCAATGTACATAATGCAATACTTAGCTTTAAAAATATTAAGAAGGCACTTCTTGTTTAGATGTATGTAGTTTAGGGAATTATAGGAATAATATTAATGGTTATTTGTATTGCGATTGTAAAATAAATAGATTTAATTTAAAAATATTATTTTATAAAAAAAATTAAAGTATAAATATTATTATTAAAAAAAAGAATGCTAAATTCCTTGTTCTAAATGTATTACTAAAGATATTTGTACAGAATGTGTAATTGGTTATTATTACAACCCTTTAGAAAATGATCCTAGGAACTATTGTGTTAAATGTGAAAATTAAATAAAGTATTGCAGTGTTTGCACTTTTACTAACAATAAATTATAGTGCTTAAAATGTTATAAAAAATATCTTTCAGTTGATCTTTTAACATGTGATGATGATTGTATAAAAGGCTATTATAGAGATGATTTTTAATAATAATGTTTAAGTAATATTTTTTTTTATAAAAATTAATCTTAAAAAAAGAATGTAAACCTTAATGTATATAATGCTTTAGTGGTGAAGATTTTAGCTGTAGTGAGTGTGCAACTGGTTATTATTTAGACTTTCCTAATACAATATGTGTAATATGTCCAGAGTTTTGTATTTCTTGTATAAAGATTTAAGAAAATATACACTGTACTTAGTGTTTGAATTCTACGAAATTCCAATATATGAAAAAACTAAATAATTAAATACGTTGTGTTTAAAAATGCGATTTTGGTCAATTTTTAAGTCTATAAGGAGGATACAATATCATTATTGATCCTTTAAATATACCTTCTAATATATAAAATAAATTAGAATGGTGTTAAGAATGTAATAATGGAAATAATAATTGTATAGCCTGCGAATCAGATAAAAATTGCAAAATATGTGTTGATTACTATTATTTAGATATGATTGTAAATCCCGAAAATCCTGATGGAGCCAAAATTGGATTATGTAAATAATGTAAATTAATGGGATGTAATTTGTGTTTTAAAGATAATTTAGCAAACGATGTGAAATGTATTTCTTGTACAATTACTAATTCTAAATGTGATTCTTTTCTTTAAAATTCGAAATGTATTTCTAGTACTGATTGTACTTCTATAAATAGAAAATATCTAAATTAGTAATAATGTATATGTTCTGATTGTAACTAAAGTTGCGAAGAATGCGAGGGAGGTTTGGAAACAGATTGTACTAAATGTAGATATTAAAATACATTTTTTGTCTCAACTTAAGGAAAAAAAACAGGATATTGCAAAAGTATAATAATAATTAAAAATATGTTTAAATTTTATTTTTTAGAGTGTCCAATAACATGTGAAACATGCCAAAACGATAATATTTGTTTAAAATGTTTATAAAAAAACTTTCTATTTAATGATATAAAGAATTAAGTATAATATATATATATATATATATATATATATATATATATATTATATATATATTTGTACTAATCTATTTTTTATTTAATTTTTTAATTATTTATTTTATTATATAAAAAAGAAAGTTATTTGTATTAACTCTTGTCCTGATACATATTTTGAAAACATTTCAAATTAATAATGTTTAAAATGTCCAAACGGATGTAGTAAATGTTATTATGATTAACTTACATAATAGTTTAACTGCATTTCTTGTATTTAATCTTATTATTTGACTGAAAAATTTAATTGCGAAAGTAAACTAAAAAAAATATATTAAATTAAAATTATAAAGAATGTCATCAAAACTGCATATCATGCTCTTTAGGACCTACTATTCTATAAGAAAATTGTACTTAATGTACTTTATAATATGTTCTTAACGAATTCAAATGCATAGAGTAATGTCCTTTAGAATAAAAGTACAAAAGCGACTAGCAAATATGTTTAAGTTGTCACCCTTCATGCAAAACATGTTTTGGATAAAAAAGTAATTAATGTTAATAATGTAACGATGGTTTTTATTTTGATTCTGTTTCATCATGTAATTCTTGTGACCAAAATTGTTTAACTTGTATAGGACCAGGTTATTATAATTGTGTAGAATGTATAAAGAACTATTTTAAATTAGGCTAATCTACATGTATAAAGGAATGTCCAGATGGTTATTTTCCCTCTGAAGATTCTTCAAATGTAAAAGAATGCATTAAATGTGATATTAAATGCGCTACATGTATTTCATTAAAATAATGTACTTTGTGTAATAATGGATTTTATTAACAAATGTCTAATATTAATAATATAGTTGAATGTATAAATTGTGATTAAAAATGCAAAACTTGTTCAGGTCCTTCTTTTCGAAATTGCATATAATGTGCTAGTTTATATTTCTTATATGAAAACTCTTGCTTGGATAAATGCCCGAGTAACCTAAGAGAAATAAATAATAAGTGCATTTAATGCATCGACTAAAACTGCTCTATTTGTGACGAAAAAAACACCAATAAATGCAAAACATGTATTTCCCCATTTGTTCTTGACATCGATTTCAAATGCAAAACTGAATGTTCAGACGGCTATTTTAAATTTGCCAATTTCAACCCTGCCGATATTCCAAAACGTTCGTCTTTATTTATTTGTTCTAAATGTAATATTAATTGTTCTTTATGTTTCGGTCCTTCCTCTAAATAATGCTTAGGATGCAAAAAAGGCCTTTTTTTTCATTCTGATATAAACGGATGTTTTCCTTCTTGTCTTTTTGGGTATATTCAAGATCCTTATTTAATTGGATAATGCTTAATTTGTAAAACTAATTGTATATCATGTGTTAGTAGCCTGTTTTAGTTCGAAAACGGATGTTTTAAAGAATGTCCTTTTTCTACAGAAGTTATTCCTAATACTAGTATTTGTTAAAGGAAAATACTTCCGAGTATTCGAGTTTTAACAGATTTAAACGATTTGTAAATATATAGTGGAGAAATAGTTATTTAGACATAAATCGTGTCCTAAATTAATATTTTGAAAATGGTATGGAATTTAGTTAAACCAGATAATTATAGTAGTTTGTTTTTTGAAGGAGTTTCAAGAAATTCGCCTGTATTAATTATTCCGATTTAAAATATTATAATTAATACGGAATATGAATTAAATTTTATTGTGGAAAATTAGAAAGGAGAAGAAAATTTAAATGTTCTCTTTAATACTAAAAATATTATATAGGTAGGAAAATTTGAAATTTCATCTTTAAATAATCCAGTTGTTTCTGGATAATCGGATATAAACATAGATTTAAGTGGATGGTAAAGTAATTCTGAAGATATTACTTTTGATATATTTATTTATATTTAGGAAGAGTAGGAAATTTTATAAAACGGAATTAAAAAAACATTAATGAAATAAAAAGATATAAATTATGTTGCATTTTAATAAAAAAAAACAAAGTAAAAAAAAAATTTAAAAATAAAATAAAAAAAAAGATTTTATAAAATTAATAAAGATAATAATAAATATAAATATATATAAATTTATATAGATATAGATATAGATATAGATATATATATTTATATATATTTATATTTATATATATATATGTATATTTTTATATATTAAAATAAGATTTACATTTAAATCTTTTCCAAATGAAAATGATGAAGAAATAACAATAAATGTAAGAGCCTATTCAGGTAAAAAAAGCATTGAATTAATAAAAAAATACAAAGTATTTAAAAATAACGAATTCTTAATTATGAACTAAGATAAAATAAAATAACTCTAATCTCCAAATGAAATAACTTCATTTTCTAGTTTAGACAGATTCTTTTCTTCTTTTTTTAATTCTAATCTTCCTTCCGAAATAGAGAACATCTTAATCTAAATGCACATATCAAATGTTCTTATGTAAAAATACACAATAATTTAAAATGCTCAATTTAATGAAAAAACTGCATATTATAATATTTAATAGGCTTTTTCTTAAAACAATAACAATAATATTCCTTGTGATGATTAAATAGACTGTTTAGGACAAGGAAAATGTTCATTAAAAAATAACAAATTTACTTTTGGGAATTCCATCTATTTTCAAATTTAAAGAGATTGTTTGTGTTCTGAACTATATAGTGGAATAATATGCGGATGGCCTTATAATTATCATAATAATATAACTTATAAATTACAGGAAGGTATTACATATATTAACTAACTTCCAGGCGCAATTGTTTAGTCGACTTCAATTTTAGGTTTTTTTAGTATAGTTTCTGAAATAAAAGATAGTTTTGACAGTAGTCTTATTTTAAATATTGAAATAATAGAACGATTTTCGAAATAAGTTTAGGGCTAGCCTATTTTTTTATAACAAATAGCCTAGTTAACAAGCAACTTTATCGATATTTATTTAAATTACAATTAAATTTTACCAAACGACTATAAATCTTAGAAAATATAATTTCTATACAACTTATAATAAACATATTTATAAAATTATACATAATACATACCTTCTAACGGACCTATTTATTAATATAAAAACAGAATTTATTCACTAATAATTTCCCCAATTATATAGTAAATATTTTTATAATAAAGAAACTTATAAGTTGAGGAAATATTTGAATTTGGAGACGGAAAAGATATACTATTATCAACATATAACATCCCTTCGTTTTCAGTTTCCGCAGAGGATTTCTAAATAAACATTCCTATTTAAATTTTAGATCATTCTAATGTGGGAAAAGTAACTGTAATAGGGTAATAATATTACATAAATTTTTTCAGTTATCTGTATAATTGTACACTTTTATAAAATAATGTAGTTTCAAATTTTTTCATACTTTCCATATAAAATGGAAATACGAAAGTTTTTTTAGAAAATTTACAAGCGCCTATTACTTTTGTTTTAAGAAAATTAATTGCTTTTCCCACCCCTTAAAACAAAGAAGTTAAAAATCAATATATGTGTTTAAATTATGTAGAAACATATAAAAATTGGAATTCAACACATTGTATTTTTTAATCAGAAAATGTAACACATATAGCTTGTTCTTGTTACACTTTATAAGGACCTGTAGTTGTTGTTTCTATTCCATAAAATATTCAAGAAGGAATAAATGAAAATAATTTGTTGAAATATAATAATTTTTTACATCCTATTTTAAATTAAAAAAGATAATCGTATTTAAATGATAAATCTAATTAATAAGCTTTAAATAATCAAAGTTAAATTAATGGAACTTCCTTAAATGGTAATAATTATGGAGCTATATCTAATTTTGATGGATTTTATATTACTGTTGTATTTTTGGTTGGTTTATTTATTGTTTTGTTTTAAGTTGCAATCAAGCAAAATATAAACGAACAAAATAGTAATATTAATAATGATAATGAAAATGATAATAAATTATAAAAAACACACTTGTATTTTATACTTTTCTATTCCTTTTTTAAAGGATAAAGTAATGATTATATAAATAGTTATACCAGACTTTGTTTACTGTTAGGAATATGGTGTTTTCATATGACTTTTACTTCTATGTTTTCTTTTGTTATTAATATTACTTCTACTTATTAAATATTTTTATTAAGCTTTTATTCTTGTATTTGTTCTGTTATTTTCACTTATTTAACTTACGGATTATTAGGGTATTTTTATTTTGGATTATCTGATATAACGTCAAGAAAATATCATTTAAAAAATGAACAAAATCATATGAATGGGTTTAGTTACAGAGTTACTATTTTTAGCACAACTTTAATAATTATTATTCTTTCTTTTTTTTTAATTACAATCTTTGTAGATAGACAAAGTGATAGTAATTAAAAAAAAATTGAATAATGGGTTTTATAAATTTTTATTTCGTATTTTATTGATTTTTTGGGAGATTTAGGAGTTGCAGGATTGGTGTATGTTAAAGGAATTAATAATATTATGAGTATATTATTTTCGTTAAAAGGTTAAATTTATATACCAAAGAGTTATGAATTATAATAAAATAGTTAAAAAAATATTATTAATGATAAAAATAATATTAATTATTTTGTTAAAATTGATTTAGAAGTTTCTTGAAAACAACTTATTTATTGCCTTTATATCGTTTTAAATTGATTTTTTTAATAAATTTTTATTGTATCTTTTATAAATTATATACTTATCAATTAATAGATATATTTTTTTTATTTAAATTAATATAAATTATACACTTTTTTTATATCAAAATAAAACTTATAAAAATTTATTTTTAAAGTAATTATTAATATTTTAAATAATAAATATAGTAATATCTTTTTACTGTAATTTTTTTTAATATAAGCAATAATTTATAAGAATAATTAATTATATATATATATATAGTATCATTTATTTTTAATTAAATTATGTATTTCAGAATATTTTATTTATACAAAAAATATTATCAATATTTAAAATAAAAATATTCTTTTATTTATTAATTTAAAAGAATAAACAAAAATAATTTAATTTTACCTAAAAAATAAGATATAAATTTAATATAAAAAAAAATCTTAAAAAAAAAAATGTCTTAAAATATCAAAAAAGTATAAATTTCGGAACTTGTAATAAATAAATTACAAAAATTAAAATTATAATAAAATATTATAGGTAATTTTAAAAATATTAAAACATACAAAATCTAGTGATGATAAAGTTGTAATGGGCTAATTACATGGTTTTTTCCAAAATTAAAGTTAAATATTAGAAATCACTAATAGTTATCCTATTCCTGATAATGTAATTATTATTTATCAAAAATAATTTCCTAAAATAAATAAAAGACAAATACAAATATTGATTAAGCTGAGTATGACCATTAAATGTCAAAATTATGTGAAGAAGTAAATTTAGATAATAATAAGGTAGGTTGGTATCACATTTCTTATAAGCAAGATAATTTTGTATCTTTTGATGCTTTTGAATTACAAAAAGAGTATTAATAATATTATCCTCATACTGTTTATTTAGTTTATGATGTTTTAGAAGCTTCTCGTGGTGTTTAAAACCCTTTAAGGGCATACAGATTGAATGAAAAATATGTTCATTTAAGTTAAAGTTAAAAAGCTACTTTATAAGATTTATCTACTTATAATAATAAATAAGAAAAAATTTTTGATAGAATTGAAGTCGAAATTGTCAGAAATCCACTTACTTAAGTAAACTTTTAAATTATAAATATATTTGTAAAAAAGATTATTAATAATTTTAGGTTTTTATATAATAATATACATAAGAAATAAGCAAAAAATATGAAAATTAATAGCAAAATTAATTAAATATATCAAATTTACTTTAAAAAAATACGTAAAATAAACTACATTTATTTTTTTATTTTATATATTTATTAGAAATTATTTAAATGAAGCAATTGAAGAATTAATTGGATAAAATTACAAATTTAATGAAGAAGTTTTAAAATATGTAAAGGTAAAAGACGCTATTAAGTAAGAAAAAACTGTTTAAGAAGTAGAAATATAAGATTATATTGATAATTTACTTTAATGCGATAGAGTATGCACTTTAGCATAAAATATTAATGAATAAACATTGTTTGTTACTTAATCAATTTAAGCTTTAAAATAATTATAATGATAATTATAGTATTTGGAAAATTATTTTTATTTTAATTTCTTTTTATATATTTTAGTATAAGTTTAAAAATAAATAAAAATAATATTTTTGCCTTAATTTTTTTATTATTTAAAATTGCTATTTTTTTAATCTTTTGAAATATTTCTTTAATATAATATAATATTTAAACAAATTTTAATAGAAATAAAAATAATTTTTTCTCGTAACATTAAAAATTAAAATAAGATTTGCTAAAATTTTTTTTCTTAATAAAAAAAGAAAACCAGTTTTTTTTTTTTTTTGATACAATCGTAGTCTGCATAACCTAATGGTAAATAGCAAAACTAAAGTCTGTCTATGGTTGAAAATGAGGGGTTGGAGAAAGATGTTCGTGAGTGAAGCATGCATGGAAGAAGCGTTAGGTATCTTTTGCTATTTTTCTTTCTCTACAGTATACTGATACTATAGAATTAGGTTTGTCCTCATCACTACATAACCTAGTTAGTATTGATAATACCTTGTGAATCCCACCCACGTTAAGGGAAATTAAATTTTAGAATTGTTTGTAATTTTTTTTTTGAGAGCAAAAAAAAAATTATTTTTATTTATTTCCTCTCTATTATAATATTCTAAAAATACATATATTACATATTTTTGTTTATTTTCTTTTTTTATCTAATATGTAGAATGAGCATAATTATCGTAATTCGATTATATTAGGTGCAGTAGTCTGCTCTGATCTTTAGGGATATTTTATGCATACATATATTAAAAATTATATTATATATATAATGAAAAAATAATAAAAATTTAAATAAATAATTTTATGTATTAACTTTTTATAATCATATTTCATTAATATTAAATATAATAAAACATTGAATAAAATATAAATATAAATTTTATTATTTAATAATAAAAAAATATTAAAATTAGATATTTATATTTAATTTATTAATAAAACATTATATTTATTTTATTTTTAATATCTTTGTATAAATAAATATATTTCTTTTTTTATATAAAAAACGAAAATTATAAATCAATTTAATATAATTGTTTACAAAAAATTTGAATAAAAAATAATTATAGAATAAAAATTTATTAAATCAAATTCTTAGCTCATTTAATTTTTTAGGTATTAAACATACTTTTATTCAAAATCGTTAGTTTCGAAAATAATTCTTCATTTTATTCAATTAATTCTTTATTATTTTATTAAAATGTTTTATTAATAAGAATTTAATTCTTTAAATCATTTTCTAATTTTGCTTTATTTTCTTAAATTTTCATTACTTCTGCAAGTAATTCTTTCATTTTCGTATTAAAAAATTCTAACTAAATTCTATCCTAATAAACAATATTATTATAATTCTTTTCCAGAATTTTCAACTAATTAGTTTATTCTTACAAATGAATTTACAAT